AAAATTGGCTTTTGTAATATCGGTTTCTATCAACATTTGCACGAGAGGTGAGAAACAGAGATTTCAAAGGTGGATAGGGGTTCTTTCATCAGCGCACGAAAGCCTGGAAAAGCACCCCGTATCTGTTACCTTTCATGTAGGTGGAAGTTTAATAAGAGGGTGAAGTATGGCTTACACTGATTGGGAATATTGATGGAAGTCAGATTGATGGTTTGAGAAGGGGAGAAACTTCATGTGAATATGTGGCGATAGTGAAAGAGGGGAACAGAAAGGGGGAGGTAGAGAGAGAGAGAGAGATAGAGAGAGAGAGAGAGAGAGAGAGAGAGAGATAGAGAGAGAGAGAGAGAGAGAGAGATAGAGATAGAGAGAGAGAGAGAGAGAGAGAGGGAGAGAGAGAGAGAGATAGAGAGAGAGAGAGAGGGGGAGGTAGAGAGAGAGAGAGAGAGATAGAGAGAGAGGGGAGGTAGAGAGAGAGAGAGAGAGAGATAGAGAGAGAGAGAGAGAGAGAGAGGGGGGGAGAAGGGGGCAAAGGAGTTAGGGAATGTGCGAGAGGGATAAAGAATGGAAGGATATGAAATGGATGAAGATGGGGAGAAAGATTAAAAGAGGGAGAGAGAGAGAGAGAAAGAGAGGTGATAATATATATAGGAAAAAGAGAAAGAGGGTAACACAGAAAAAAGATTGAGGAAGAGAGAGAGAGAGAGAGAGGCGGTAGGAGATAGAGGGAGGGGAGAGAGCAAGAGAGGAGGAGGGGAAGGGAACTGCATGTATGTGCATTGATTTTAGAAAGATTGATCAAGAAAGTAAAGAGTATTGTCATCTGTTCGCAAGAATGCTGTAAACTGTCATTGATGAAACATAGCTGTAACGGCCTTCTTGCAGGCAGTCGACGGTTTTGAGATCGTGTCTTTAGAAAGTCAATGAGATGCAAAAATAAGCTTAAAAGAGGGAGAAAATAAAACAAAAATGAGTATTCAGAGAGCAAGTACCACTTTGATAACTTTATAACATGATTTTGTTTTTGTATCAATCTGAGATCAAGTATTATTCTCAGATCGATTAGTCGTCATTTCTTTCTTAAACTCTGTATATTATTTTCTGTGAACATGTAGGTTTTTTTTTTAACAATATGATAATCTTATTCAAATGGATGAAGCAGTTTGGATAAATGGGCAACATTGATTCGACTGTGATATGTATTTAAAGTATACACATTGATCCCAACTGGGATGATGAATTAAGTTCAGCATTATTTTAGACCATTTTCATTTTTCTATTTCAAAACAATGTGAACAAGGGCAAAATATGGCAACAAAACACAATATAAATTGTTGGGATTCCCTTAAAGCAAACTGCCTGTGAGCAGGGCCCCATCTTCACAAAATGAGAGTTAACAATAATACATAGGATCAGAGTGTGTTGTAATACATTACTAACAATAATACATACTGTAATGAGTACTATCAACAATATTTAAATGAATTATAATTAAATACCACTTTGGTACGATGATGTTAAAAAGGAAGCTTAAATTGTGCCAGAATTTCAAGAAATGATTGTTTAATGGGTATCTACCCTTTATAGAAACTAAATATCACACGATACTGAAGATGAGATAAAACATTTGTGAACGTTCCGGACAGACATGATAGAGGAAAGGAATCAAATGTCGAATGTTGACATCACTTATGCTAGAGGGAAATTCCCTCTGAAAATCAAGATTCATTTTTTACATTAAAAATGCCATAAATTTCTTTGTACTAATTTGACCAATGCTTGAATTTAAGTAGACTTTATGGAAATATTTCATTCCCGTTTACATCAGTCCATACTGATAACCCTAGTCACACCGACAGGATGACAACAGATCGACACCAGACCGACACCAGACCGACACCAGACCGACACCAGACCGACACCAGACCGACATCAGACCGACACATACGAACAACAGACCGAAATCAGACCGACAACCAGACCGACAACAGACCTACACCAGACCGACACATACATTATGTACGAACAACAGACCGACATCAGACCGACACCAGACCGACATCAGACCGACACCAGACCGACAACAGACCGACACCAGATCGACACCAGACCGACACCAGACCAACACCAGACCGACACCAGACCGACACCAGACCGACAACAGACCTACACCAGACTGACACATACATTATGTACGAACAACAGACCGACATCAGACCGACACCAGACCGACATCAGACCGACACCATACCGACATCAGACCGACACCAGACCGACAACAGACCGACACCAGACCGACACCAGACTGACACTAGACCGACACCAGACCGACACCAGACTGACACCAGATTGACACCAGACCGACACCAGACTGACACCAGACCAACACTGGACCAAAAACATACGAACAACAGACCGATACCGGACTGACACCCAGACCGACACCAGAACGACTACAAAGAAATTTAAATTGGCCATACATCGAAAGGCCAAGAATCATAGTGGTTTGCAGTCGATTTGGCGGTATAACTGAAGTACGATGTAAGTAGATAATGTGATCTAGATTTAGTCTAGCCGTCACGTCAATATAACTCATGTGCTTATTACCACTCTCAGGAACCGACTAGTCATGTGGTCACCAAGGAGAAACATGAAACCGTGTTCACACATCTCATACGTTGTACAAGAAAGCGATTTTTAATCAACAAAAACCGTTTTAAAATCAACATAAGTAAGCGATATATTTGTCAAACAGGAACCATGCCGTTGGCGCCTCACATATTTAATAATCTTGTAAAAGGAAGCTTTGTCTGGAGTGAAACGTGTCATGACTATTACATTAAAATAGAAAATGTATAAATAGCTGGGAGGTCTTATACGCTATGCTGTCACTCTTTCTCGCTCTCCTATACTTTCATTTTGAGACCCGTATCTCCGCCCTTCTTAACACATTAATTTGCTATTAAGTATGAACGCGCCGTTATTGTGGTGCTTTTGAAGTGGTACCGATATTTATACTTGGGTAATATGATTGAAAAACGTTTGGACGTCCTGCCAGCCTTTTAATGAGTATATAAGTCGGTCGTTCACCTTTTCTTGATTGCTTCCTTAGAAGTGAAAGCATAACATATTATACGGAAAATACTCCGGTGCCAATATTGCTCCGCGCTGAATTTCTAACATCTAGCTGAGCTACCTCACTTTGAATATTGTATCACACACTTTACCTAAACCTATAAGGAATATATTTATCAAGAAGAAAAGAAGAGAAATGTTCCTCTAGCTTTTAAATCTTTTGACAATGATTTAGGATCCCCAGACAACAACAAAAATAGACTCACACTTGAGTAATCCAATGAAAATTGTTTTACTCTGTAATATTCTTTCACAAATCTTTGCTAAAAACGATTTCATGAAAACGACCTTGCGCACAAAAGGGAACTGCTTTCGATTGTGGGGGTTTAAACAAAAAGAAGATGGCCATGCACAACTTCATCTAGTAAAGAGAGAAGAAATGGGAGAGTGTAGGAGAGATAAAGAAAGCCATGATTTAGTTTGAGAGAGAGAGAGAGAGAGAGAGAGAGGATAAGTAGGAGACGGCATAAAATGGCACATGTATATTTGAAAGAGTAACACGCCCTCGATAAGGATCATAAGATAGCAGTGACGTCAAGAATCGCCTGCCTGTCAAAAGTCATGAGCTTGTGTTCGTGGGCCTGCGATAAACTACCCGAGGATTTAAAAGATGACTGATAAGAAATGATCGGATTTCCTCCAAACTCATCGTACTGATTGATCAGTAATGTCGAACTTTTCACATAAACTTGTTCTTGACATTTTAAAAGGGATTATCGCTAGCATGCAACTCTGTCATCTTTGGAGGCGGATCTCATGTATCTTGCAATCGTCATTCATCATCGCTACTAGCGGAATGTTTGCATTTTTTATGATACTATCTGTGCCATCGCTAAAGAGTAATTTCATCTGTGATTATTATCATCCATCCCCGTTCGTCCTTCTTATTATTCTTTTGATATGAAAAAATTAACTTTTTAATAATTGTATCTTTTTTTTTCTTTTTGAATGCACTTGTTTATGAACTATATGAAATAACAGAAATAGAAATGGTCGGAAATGGAGTTTAAAATAATGAGTGTCGCAAAAAGAAACTATCCATAATATCCGGTAATGGTGGTGATGATGATGATAATGATGATGATGATGATGATAATGGTGATGATGATGATGGTGATGGTGATGGTGATGATGATGATGATGGTGATGGTGATGATGATGATGATGATGATGATAGTGGTGATGATGATGATGGTGATGATAGTGGTGATGATGATGATGATGATGATGATAGTAAGGATGATGATGGTGATGATGATGATGGTGATGATGCTGATGATGATGGTGATGGTGATGATAGTGGTGATGATGATGATGATGGTGGTGGTGGTAGTGATGACGAAGAATATGATAATGATTAAGATGATAATGATACTGATAGAATTTTCATGATGATGATGATGATGATTATTTTGCTGATAATGATGATGTTAAATAGCGGAGGAAATGACGATGAAAATAAATTATCATAATGATAATATAAAGTACCATAGTACTAGTCAAGGAAAATCTGGCTTAATTAACTTCCACGGAACGAAATGGACATGACTCTATTAGGAAGAGAACCAGTAAACACACATTAAGCCTTAACTGGTGGTATGGTCTCTTAATGGTGCCTCGATTACCTTCGTCTATGTATGACTCACTGAAGGTTTACAATGACACACATTAGTGAATACTAATAATTTCTGGGGTCTTTGCATTTTCGCTTGTCAATTATTGAATTCATACGCGATCAGGATCCTAAATGATTGTTGACGATTGACCCACTTTCACAATGCTGAGATGCGGTTGAAGCGGGAGAAGGGGGGGGGGGGGTCCTGGCTAACCCTTTCTCGTCTCACTGGCTAATCATTAAAGGTAAATTCTCATATAACATCGAACCGAGATATTGCTATTGTATCGTCCTTCCCCGAATGCGCATACTTTGCTTTTCGTTTTTGTTTTGTGATGTTGATGCTGCTGCTGTTGTTGTCATTGTTACTGGGGTTGGTGCTCTTGTTGTTGATGGTGGTAGTGTTGTTGATGTCGCTAGTGGTAGGGATGCATGGTGGTAATGGTGTTGCTTTCGTTGCTGCTGCTGATGTGTTGTTATTCGTGTGGTTGGTGATGGTGGTGTTGTTGGTGGTGGTGTTGTCGTTGTTGTAGTTATTGGTGGTTGTGTTGGATGTTGTCGCCTAAGTAATTGAAGTCATGAGAGTATGTTTGAGAAGTTTAAGGTTAGAATCAGAGTCAAGGTTAAGGTTAAGGGTTAGAGCATGTCCTTTTCGCCCCTCGTGATCGGCTAAGGTAGTGCTATCGGATGAAGATATGAACATGTTAGTCCGTATTTGCCAGAATTAGCTTTGATTTATATGTCTTTCTCTCTCATTCCTTCTTCCTCCCTCTCTGTCTCTTTTCCACTCATTATCTATTTCCTATCGCCCAGTGACATTCATAAGTATTTGAGAGAAATCCAACACTATTACTAAATTGACACAAAATCGGTGCAACGTCTTTTTGTTAAAGTTTCTTATAAAGTGGGGGCGATTAAAAGGATACCATGCCGTCCGCTTGGAACTCACAAGGTTGAACACAGGTCAATCGCTCTTCATTCAGACTCAGGGCAATTACTTGCTGGAAATGTGTCTAGTATTTTTTTACCAAAATATAGAGCATGTAAAACACAAATTGAGAGAAAGGAAGTAACAAAAAGATTAATAAATATGAATAAAATAATTCAATTTTAATGTTGAAAGTACCTTTAAGATTGTATACTAGTTTCTATCTGAATGATGTCGAAACATGCAACAGCTGGTTTATTTCTCGTTATTGCTAAGCTTGAAAGTATTACTCATTTCCAATAAAAACGGCAAAAATGAAAACAGGGCCGGGAGAGTCATGATTTCGTATTTATTGGATTTCTTTGCCCATCCAATAAAAAAATGGTTTACCTTTTTCCCGTCATGATTAATTTGTCATTTAATGAAAAATTGCTCCTGCCGTTGTATGAGGGGCATATCAGAAATAGGGAGCGTGTATTTCATTACAACTGAAGGTTGAGGAATATTGCGTTCTTTCCCCCAGCCCGGTCATGTCAAGCGGCGTATCCAGACATTGCTTTTAAAAAAGGGAGCAAAAGTCTTCCGGAATGAGGTTAGGGGAGGGGGAAGGGATAGCATGTATTTTAGTAGCCCCATGACGTATATGCAGACCTACAAAGTTTCATTTATTAATCTATATTTCATTTTCTTTTCTTTATGGAGCCTTTACCATCGGGGTTATGCGCCCCACCCTACTCTGCATACGCCTTTGCTGCCCATCGTTTCCCGGCTAGAACATCCGACGAAACGAAAAGAGAAAAGAAACGCGGCCAAGGATATTGCGCTCGTTATTAAATCTTGTACCCTACAAATTGTTTTGAAATTAATCTTTGATTGATTTCGTAAAGATTTCACAAGATGTCTAGGGAATGTTGAATGCCAAGGATCTTTTGTAAAGAGTTCTTTGGAATGTCATTATGTATATAACTGAGGCTTGATTTTAGGATGATTGTATTATTGTATCTCTGATAGAGACTCCCGTGTCCATGCTACAATGCATCAAAAGAAGATACCATATTATCTGTATGAGTAAAAACCTGAGCAGTACATTGGAACAAAGTTTAATGTGACAAAAAAAATAGATTGTCCTGTGAGGATAACTTTCCAATAATGAGGTAAGAGAGGAGTCAGGAGAGGTTATGATATTAATTTCTTTGAGATGTATATTGGCAGTACACTAATTGATAATCATTATAACTCCGACGATAATGATGATGGCGTGTGATATTTTGGTCACTGATCTGTTCTCATAAGTATGTGTCATGCTTGTCATAGACTGAACATCAACCCCGTTCCCAGTCTCTCCAGCGAGACCGATTCCAGACCGTCAATATACCGAACAAAAATGTCACTGCCCTAAATGGTCAAGCATCGGTCGGTATGGAGTTGGTTTGGCGGTCTGACTGAGGCAACAACAAAAATAACAGATGTCAAACGACCAACTATCAAACATGTGTTTTGATATATTGTTTTACGTCATCAGAGACCTAATAGCGTCACATCGGTATTGATTATTACATAACAATGCACGTGGGGCATATTTACATCGATTGGGAAAGCTTCACACCCCTTCCCTCTTCAAAGCACCAGCAAAATTTACCACCACATTGTACATTTTGACACGACATTTAACTAAACTGTCTTTAAAGAGATGGTTTACTTCTTGTAAAATTGTAATTATATTACGAGTTTTCAAATTCTTTGTATGACTTTGTGGGAAAATATGATGTCAATTTTCCGTAATGAGAATTTCTCTCAAAGAGCTCTCATATTTCAGCTAGGATTAAAAACAATCGTTTGGGACCAAATTCCGATATCTGTTCGTAAAGTCCCATAAACCTATGTGTTGTCCTGTCATTTATATTTTTTGTCATTTTCGGCAAGATTCTGTCAATCAGTTGTGATTGTAATAATTCCAAAACCTCGTAAAATCGTAATAAATTTTCAGCAACTAACTATTCAGAATAACTGATTTTTTTTTCTTCTCAATGTGATATGTTACTGCCATTACTCAATTGTATCTTTAAATATCGATTGTAAATTCATGACGTAAACAATATCAATGCGCTTAATTATTATCCCTTGATTAACATTATAATGACATGTGTTAATGTGTTAGGTGGACTAAAACTGCTCGGCTTCCCTTTGCAAACGTTTTGAATGGTATGAAATGTCAAACGATAATTATGATGGCAAACTGCTCTGTTCTAATTGGCATGTTCAGAGCACATTTTTGCAGCAGTTTTGTTTCGTTTGTTACGCCTTTGATTGACAAAGGTATTTGAACAGTATGAAAATGTCAAATGATTCTTTCAGGTGACATAATGTCCTGCTCAATAATTGGCATGTTGAAAACTGAACATTAATCTACTCTCCGATTCCGTGACAAACTGCTAAATTGCTATGTCATGATGATAGTCTACAATCGTATTTGTCCTCGTGAACTACGTGAAATACACTAAGAACATCTTTGACAGTTATCTCTTCCAAGTCATACAGTAAGGAATTGGTGTCCTTTTGTTTAACATTACGAAGGGTTTTACTACGGTGTGCTAAATGATAAAAACAATACTCTAAATGGACAAATCTTACGAGCCAAGAAATATTTCAAGTTATTCTGCAAAACATTTCATGAAAGACAAGGTATACTTGTAATTTCTGTGTATTGGGGGGGGGGGTGTTCTTGCAAAGTACAAAAAAAAAAAACGCCTGCTTAGTGTTAGAAAATATTTGCGGATCGTGATCGAATTTCTTTATTATTTACAAAATAATAGCAATATCAGCTATAATGCAAAGCAAAAATGTATTTGTTCTATTTGCGAATTTACAATGTCCATGCCCTCTCCAAAATATTGCATAGAGTAGATTCTGCCCCTATTTCTCAACCCTCCATTTTGATTTCCTTTCTCGTTCCAACTTTGAAAGCATCGGATGAAAAGCAGCTTTTCTTAATATATGTTAAGGTGATATTATTCTAATACCCACAGGAGATATAAAGAAAAAAAATCAATTCCATCATTCGGAGTACCTGAAAACATCAAGAGGATGAACTTTTCGTGAATGTCAAAAGAGCTTTCCCCCTCTCTTATCAGATGTTTCCTCTCGCGCTCTCTCTCTCTTTATTTTTTTATCACTCTCTCCTTCTCTTGACTGTCTTTTGATATCTCTTGATAATTCTTCATGCCCCACTTTCACCGTCTTCCTTTGTTTAAATCTCTTTTCCTTTTTTGTTTAAGCTCATGCAGTGTATATTTCCCTCTTCCCTGCCCTCTTCAAATCCCTCGTATCCCCTCCCGGCCTCCCCCCTCTCTCTCTCTCTCTCTCTCTCTCTCTCTCTCTCTCTCTTTTCTCCCTCCCCCTCTCTCCTTCTCTTTAGGTTTCTCTCTTTCTCCACCGTTTCTTCTTTCTTCCTCCCTCCCTCACTTTTGCATACCCTCTCTTTTTCCTTCTCTCCTTTTCCCTTGACTATTTTTTCTCTCAATCTCTCGCATCACCATTCTCATTTTGAAGGACAGCTTTTGTTTCTATTGCATATACACCTCATACTATCTCCCCCCCCCCCCCGTCTCTCTCTCTCTCTCTCTCTCTCTCTCTCTCTTTACCCCCTCTCTCTCTCTGTATCTATATCTCTCTCTCTCTTTTTTTCTTTCTCTCATTAATTCTCTCCCCTTCATTTTTTCTTTCTCTCTCTTGTCTCCCAGATCTCACTTATTATACTTTCCCAGCACGAAAGGTGAGCGCACTTTACCTCGAACATGAGTTGAACATCGACGCATCGGAAAAGGGCAGTACTTAGCTGGCTGCAAACATATTCCTAAAGAAAGGATGGAATTGAAAATCGATATTTTTAATTGGAAGGGGAATAAGCTCACATAATCCTTTGTTTCGGAAGGACCATGCGGAGAATGTTTGAACTTCTTTTTTAATTCATTGGGTCTAGAGGATCATTAATCGATTGTTCTGTATATGGCGGCCTACTAGGTGTTATATTGAACTGCTATAGTACAAACCGGTCTACGAATAAGGGCAACTTTCATTAGTGGCGTAGCGTGTATCCTACCTGTAAGGGGGACTCGTGTCGTGGAGCGGCACGCCAATATTTACAACCTAGGATGGAAACTAAAAATTCGATTGCAGGCTACGTACGCGTAGTCAGTCTGAGTAAAGATCAGTAGCGTTGCTCGTATCGAATTGTCTTTTAGTTCTTTATTCAGAAGCCTAAAGTTAATCCTAATGCTAATCTTAACCCCAAATCTTAAATCCTAAATGTAAACAGAAACCAACCCTAATCCCGAATCCCATTTGCACCAACCAGCATTGAGTTAATATTAAGAGCATGTATAATTATGAGGTGGTCGTATATTCGTAGCAAATAGGCTTAATCCGACTTTTAATTGCCATATTTATGATTTTTTTTTTTAAATCACGTACGGCACCGGTTTTAAATACAGGATGAAGTGTGAGAGAGCAAGGTCATCAAGAGGGTTGGGAGGGGAGGCGAGGGGGGGGGGTTCTTCCATCTTCCCCACGTTCCTTTCCCTCCCTCCTTTCCACACCTTTGTTTTGACATCCGATTAAGAGGCTGTTCCCCGCCA